GCAGTTCATGAATGCTGATTAAAGAGATACTGTGGGGTGAGGAACTTCTGAAACAATAATGCACTCAATTGGAAAATGTTTAGATTTGATATCTTATGACTGACATTATCAGTGCATAACTATGAAGCAAGGCTAGACAATATTTGTGTCTTCCTAGGCTATATCCTATTAGCTTCACTTTCCTGGGAGCTTTGACTAGCTCAGGACACGTCACTCTGGTTTCCTTCAACCACCTTGTGTACTTTTATCTCATTAGAATAAATATTCTATAGCTCCTTTTGTCTTGGGTCACCTGAACCCATCTAGGCTGCTGTTTCCAGAACCCCTTCCTACCAAGCTGACTCTTATTCCTGAATATATGAAAAGTAGATGGCACAGGCATATCACATAACATTCTAGAGATTATCACACACTTGGAAACATACAGTTACTGGCTCCTGCAGGAGAGCATGGTCTACACTCAGCTCTGTAGCGACTTACACACCTCCCATTTGTCAATATATGTGAGCAACTGGCATATTTCTGTGTTACTTTTATGTGTTTCACACATATCACTTAGAGTGCTTTTGAGCTACTCTCCAAAAGGTGGTGAGCATGTGACTGAAATGCAGTTTTGATTATACATGTATGATCAATCAATGGCGAGAGATTTGCGGTCACACACACACACACACACATATTTGTTGAACTTACGTTCCATCTGAAGCACACATGAATTAGACTTCTCCTCCCATTTGGAAGTGTCTCTTTCGCCATTACTAACTGGAAAGAGAGGATAATAACAAACGCAGTGGAGAGAAGAAGCCCTGATTCTGAATTAAACACTTTTCTGCCTTGGGTAAAAGAGGGGAGAGGAAAGGGGGCAAGAATGGGGGAGGGGGAATCTGCAAGTTTAAGAAAGGAAAGATGAGTCCAGCTTTAGGATATGCATCCCCCCATACACATACCGTACTTTTCTGTGTATAATACTAAGGTTTTTTTACTTTAAAATTATGTTTAAAATAGGGGGTCATCTTATACAGTAGTACCTCGGGTTACAAACACCTGGGTTACAAACACTTTGGCTTACAGACTCCGTGAACTCGGAAGAAGTACCTCGGATTAAGAACTTTACCTCAGGATGAGAACAGAAATTGCATGGCGGCAGCAGGAGGCCCCATTAGCTAAAGTGGTACCTCAGGTTAAGAACAGTTTCAGGTTAAGAACAGACCTCCAGAATGAATTAAGTTCGTAACCAGAGGTACCACTGTACATGGATAGCGTGCCCATACCACATTACGCCATTGATTAGGGCTCATTTTACAAGTATGAGGCAGCTTGCTGCAGAACCACGGTGAAGAACTGTTAATTATTTTCTCTAAAGCTGATGCTGCGATTCTAATTATGGAATAAGTGGTAGACGCTTTTTCCGTCCTGACTTCCAGTTGCCACAGTATGCTACGTAAGGTGATGGTCATGGTCTTCCACAATTCATTCATTACATTAGTCTGTGCTAGATAATTTCCTGGTAGGTTCAGGGCTCTGTATAAAATAACGTTGGGCCTGGCCTATCACAGCAAAGGGTTTCCAAAAGAAAGGAAGGAAATCAGGTCTGCAGAAAGCATTTCTCAATTGCACGAGAAGAAGCTGCAGAGGCAGCAAATATCAAATTGCACCACATCCCCACTTCATATTCAGAAAATACAAATCTCACGCAGTAATCATTATTTGTATAAGGTTATAAAAGGTGCCCATTATCCGTACGTGAATAATAACTGGATAATTTAACACCTATGAGTTATTTACCTTTCCTGTTGTTAACAGGATCGGATCAGATCCCACGGCCACTTGTTAGGTTATATTATTTAAACCTCTTATTCTCTCAGGCACCTTCCACCTTCACTTCTCTCCCTCTCCTTTTCAATCCCATGCTCCCACTTATAAAGCTATCTTAGCTCCAGCCGCCATATATGAATAGCAAGGTGATCTAAACACTTAGTGCATGTATATCAAAATATTGGGGTTATTGTCTTTTGTAATTACTGTTTCCAGGAAAATATTTAATTTTGGGAGGTTGGCATTGGCTCTTTAGAAAGGGAAGGCAATTGCTGCAAGTTTTCAGCCGTAGTACTGAAAATAGTAAGGTAATAATAATAATATCAAAAAGGCAATAACAAATATCTGGCATTTCCATCCTGCCACGGGCTACCTTTACTACAAAAATGAAAAGATAATACAGAAAGCCTGTAGTTTAAGAGAACAATGAGAGGAGCTAAGTGTACAAAAACAATCACAAAATGGAACCTAGGTCTATAAACTACACAATTTGAATACTATACCCTAAAGTTGTTATGTTCCTGTTCTCTATCCCAAGCTTCACCACCTCACAATTTTACATTATTTAGTATGGTTTCACGGACAGGTAATTCTGTGACAATATATTACCTGCTGGTTTGTCCTTGGAGGGTAGGTTTCCCTATTAACATTTCCTTATAAAAACTATGGAATACATTAAAAGCTCATTCCAATATTCACCATGTTTTACTTAGAATTCTTTCTCGCTTCCTTTGTGGTACTTTACCTCACTTAAAAACCCTTCTTTATTTTCCTCTTCCTTTCCTCCCATTACCCCATTGAAAATGAAATATATCATGCCCATAGACTCTCTTGCTAACAGTCCTTTTAAACAGAACCTTTTGTGTGGGAGCAGAATCACCTATTACCACCAACGCTCATCTGGCATAAATTTAAATACACGTTGTTCAGCATAGTATAGGACCACAGTGCTCTCAGATTCAGCATAGATGTAATTGCATTTGACTTTAAAACATTGACTTATCACTGTTTTTGTTTCTTATCACAAAGTGTTTGCTGCCTTGGGATCCTTTGCAGGAAGGGCAGGACAGAAATGTAGTAAATAAATAAAAAAAGAGAGAAAGAGAGAAAAATGCTCAGCAAAGACTCCTAAGTATGCTTATTGGTCATGGAGTAAGGGGACAGTACTTCATGAATTGGTAACTGTTTAAAGAACACAAAGCACACAGTAAGACCCAGTGCGCAACAGCTGCGCAAATGGTGAAGCTCATTATTAGAAAAAGGAACTGAAAATAAAAACTACCTCCCTTGGGTCTGTTCATCAAGCCACGACCCCCCCGCCAAGGCCATCGCGGATTGGCTCTTTTGAATGAGCGGGCTGGACATGAACCAGTGAGCCTCCACGGCGGCCGAGGGGATGTGCTGCGCTCAAAATGGCGCAGCGCGTCCAAGCAGTGAGGGAGATGCCACAATGGGCCGAAACCACTGCTCAACGAGGAGGTACTGTAAGTGACCCTTATTGGCACCATGCTCTAACCAACTGAGCGGTCCTAGTCTCCAAAATAATTGCTCCCTCCATAGCATATATTTGTCCTGAAAAGGCAGCGGGTAGTGGTCCAATATCTGCTTCTTTTAGGGGTCAAATTGTAGCTTGGAGGAGGAGGATTTTGGGGGGGGACGATAATAGCATGGGAAGAAAAAGTTAAGCCTCACTGTGGTCTGTATTCCAGAGTGGCAAGCCCGAGTGCAAATTAAAGACAGGTACAGTACAATTCCATGATTCTGAAGTGTTTGTTTTTGAAACAACAACAGCACAGGGAAAGTTCAGTTGACTTGACATAACCTATGCACTTGTGAACATAGGATGCACTCTAAATATAAAACAGCTGGAAAAGAAGATGGTCAAATGCAAATGCATTGTAAACAGTGCTGACCAAAAGTGCACACAAAGATGCAAAGTAAGCTACAATGCAGAATTGACTTGCCCTTATTTAGCAACAAATGCTAGGAAACAACAGATGAGCTGAAATAAAATAAATGTCATAAATCACCGCAGTTGCTCTAGTGTGACTATTAATAACAGATTGGTGTAAAGGTGATTTTGTCTGTCTTTCCTTCACTATGTCACACAGCAACAAGATGTTACATCTGAGAAGCTTCCTACAAAACTTCTTCATTATTTGGGAGGTCAAGCGTGTGGCCTTCAATATTAAACTTTTGCAGGGAGTTCTCGACAGAGTTGTTATTCTGACTGTCTCTCTCTTTTTGCTGGCTATCCAAACTTATTTGTATCTTTAATTTCATAATAATAAAAAATATATCAGGTAAGTAAAACAAGAATAAAGGCCACTTCCTACAACTATGGGACGTGGGTGGCACTGTGGGTTAAACCACAGAGCCTAGGACTTGCTGATCAGAAGGTCGGCAGTTCGAATCCCCGCGACAGGGTGAGCTCCCGTTGCTCGGTCTCAGCTCCTGCTAACCTAGCAGTTCGAAAGCACATCAAAGTGCAAGTAGATAAATAGGTACCCTCCGGCGGGAAGGTAAACGGCGTTTCTGTGCGCTGCTCTGGTTTGACAGAAGCGGCTTAGTCATGCTGGCCACATGACCCAGAAACTGTACGCCGGCTCCCTCGGCCAATAAAGCGAGATGAGCGCCGCAGTCCCAGAGTCGGTCACGACTAGACCTAATGGTCAGGGGTCCCTTTACCTTTACCTACAACTCTACCATATTTGTAATTGCATTGTTGTAAGTAAGCCGAATGCCATCAGCCTCTTTAAAAAAGGAACAGGAAAAGGTTAATACCAGAGGTGTCAAAACATGGCTTTTTACGCATCTCACCTCTCCCTTTTACCAGGCCAGGATGCTTTACCTAGCTGACACCATGGATTATATAAATTAAGAAAGACGAGGAGAGATACAAAAGAAAAATATGCTACCGAGCTTTTAAAATCAGTGCTGTAAAGATTTATCGCAAGGTCTGAAGGGACAGCACTCAGGACTTGACAGTATGACTTACAGCATGTACTGGGGAGGGGGACAAAAAAGGGGGATTTAGAATGAGGGGGGGGGGGGAACCCTCGACTCTTGTCTCTGAAATGCTCTTGGACTAAAGCCAACTCTTAGTCCAGAGAACAATGTTGACATTTAGCCTTTCTAATCAGTGTTGCCTGTCACCCAGGGCAGAGATTCCTGGCCTATGACGGAGTTTTCCAGAAACTGGCAACACTATCTCTCCCTTCCTTCTCTCCTTTCCCCTTTCACTGTAGAAACCCATCACTGCCCATCCTTAAATCCTTTGTAAACTCCATATACTGGAGCACACAAATCCACAGTGGTCAAGGGCTGGAGTGGAGTCAATATTCACTCGTGTGCAAGGTACCAGAAGGCCAGCATTTGCTTATGAGTGACTGTCAGACTCAAGGTAAAAGAGACTGGGAACTTGTCTTAACGCAGGTCTTTCTTTTCCTCCCTAAAAACAGGTTCTCCTGGGTGGCGGGGAAGAGAGAGTGAGCAATGTGCCTGCTCTTCTGGAGAGGCTTGGCTCTGGGTGCCTTTCCTCCATTTCGCCCCCACCATCATGCGTTTTGAAATGATGGAGGACCTGTCTGTCGGCACAGGCATGTCTTTAGTGCTTTCGTCTCTCCTGCCCCTTCTGGTCTATACAGGGATGCTGACGTACAGCCGCCAGCTGGCTTCCAGCGAGCGGTTGACCATCTGAGGGGTCCTGTTGGGCTATGCCCTCTTCATCTTCTCCCTTACAGCCTTCGTCAACCTTGAACATTCGATTTTCAGCAAAGGACTCCAAGCTAAGATCTTTCCTGAAATCATTACCTGCCTGCTGCTGCTGGCGCTGTTTGCTTCAGGGCTGATTCATTGAGTCTGCATTATCACTTGTTTATCTTCTCTAAGATCTCCCTGAACCACATCAACAAGATCTCCAACAAGATCTCCATGGTGCCCACAGTTGCCAAGAAGGTTAGGAAATGCAGGAAGATGAATTGCTGCCCCCCGGGGGGGGGGAGTGGAAGACCTTCCTCAGCACAGTCCGAACGTCCAATAAAATCTTTTCTTTTCTTTTCTTTTCTTTTCTTTTCTTTTCTTTTCTTTTCTTTTCTTTTCTTTTCTTTTCTTTAAAAGCAGGTTCTCCTCTACTTGAAAAGTCTAGAAATCTGCTTGGCATATAACACTTAGGAATCAGAAGCGCTGGTTCCTCTCTCAGAATGGAATAATTTTTAGCATTTAATCAAGTGGGCTCCCGGTGCCCATTTTTATGGAGGCAAGAATAATAATTTGAAGTCTGAACACGGGCTGCTGATAGTAGAGGCACTACAGTACTGGGTAAAAAGCCTGCAGGGGGCTACTGCAGACTCATACTCTGAGCCTTCATTTTTTAAAAGAAGTCTCTAATTGCATTTGAACAACAGTTCAGAAGCAAAACGTACAGGCACTATTCTAAGCAAATGTTTCATGAGATATCAGCCTGTAGTAGCCTGTCCACCCAAAAGCAAGCAAGGAGCAGCAAACACAGCGGCTCATGCTCTCTTTAACTCAGGTTTAATTTCATGCAAAGGTTTTCTTTTCTGAACACATAAACATGCTTTTAGAAAAACCTGCCAATGCAAATAAATGTCATCATTAGTATATTCATATTGTGGGGTGGGCGGGTGTGTATGTGGTGAGAATATTGGGGTTGCAAAAGCATGGGCTGCCATCAGCCCTGCTAAGCAACCCACCACTGCTGTACTAATATTGCTGGGGAAGACGGTTGAGATAAAACAACAACAACAGCAACAACAATCCTGCAGTGTAGTCAAGTGCTGTTATCCAGTCTCTTGGTCTGATTTGTTTTCCTTTCTTTTCTTGTTAGGGAAATGTAATCAGGGGGCTACTAAGAAAACCGTAGCAGCAACATGGGGCTAATTAACTGCTTTCCCATGCATGCGAGAAAAATAAGGGGATTATTGGGGATGGATTGTTGCTGGTGCCAGTATAAACACTTGTGGGTATATTCATATCAAAGGCTCAAATACTGAAAAAAAAGGGGAAAGGGTGGATGTTTGACCTCTGCAAAAGTTACCGTAATATGAGGTATAAATTGCGACAACAAATGCTAACAGAATACACTGCTTGCTTTTTAACAATTTAAGCATGGGCATCCTTAGTTGCTGTATATCTTAAAGCTCTTTTGACACCCCCCACCCCCCCGCTACTGAAATGCCTAGCCTGATCCTGCTGTTAATATAACATTGCCAGCATAAGATCAGTTGATGAGAGAGCTACAGAAATGTTATGTTCCATATACTACAAACCAGTTGCGTCCTTTGCACAGTTTATGGTTGGCATTGCAGGAAAACAAGGCTTGTGCTTTTAACAGTTGTGTGATAGGCATAAATTCAACAGGTTAAGTCTTTTCTAGTACGGAGCTTCACTTGTTGACATTCTGTCCGTCATATATCATATTACTTGTGTGTGGCCTCATTTATTTTAGGGTCACCTGCAAAACTGGATGCAAAAACTTCGTATGTCACAAAGCACACAAATATGTTATGCAATTTTGTGTCCTCTTTTGTGAGGGCAGAGGAGGCTCCTATTTACCTCCAGGGTACAAGGCCCAGGAAATCCTGTTTGCATCTCTGCTTGAATCTGCTGAAGCAGGGGTGAGAAACCTGTGGGGAGCCAACTCCCATCAGCCCTAGCCACTACGGCCAAAGACTAGAGAAGATGAAGTTGCAGTCCAGCAAAACGTATTCTCCCTAGCAGAGAGCGCGTGTTGCGGTGGGGGATACAAGCCACCCCATTGTTGCTGGGCGGATTTGTAGAGGGACCCAGGCAGTGAACTGGTTAATCGGGTCACTGGGGAGAACTGCTTGTTGCCAATTTTGAAGGAGGGGTCAGAGGTTTTAAATACTGGTCGCCCAACTTTGAGCGTTCTCTTGGCTGCTTGCACCGGATCACCCGCCCACCCTCCCTGTATTGGGGGGGTTGTTCGCTTGACCTTGCTATGCCTGTCATGGGGTCGTCTGCTTTGAGGCAGGGGCCTGGTAGGAATTTGTCCATTTGGCTGATTGGCTGGTGCCATTTGGTTTTGCCTACTGTGTAGCAAATCATCACAACTTGTAAGGTTGGCGGTTAGGCATTGGTTCAAATTGGTTGGTGGAGGGGTAAGTGCCTACCCCTTCAATGGTGGTGCGAAAAGGGAATTCCGTTAAAGGAATCCAGGGGCTTGCCATTCTTTTCGTCCTTGTCCCTGGCATCAGACTTGGGCCGTGCAAGCCACCAGGAGCATGAGGGTGAGAAGTGAGGGACTAATGCCCAGCTTCATTTTCTCCCCAAAATTTGTTTCCCTGACTGGCTTCCGCTGGAATCCGGAAGTCAGTCCTGTCCCCTAGGCAAGGATAGATAGTCAGAAGCAATGCCTAAGCAACCACTCACTTGGATGTATTTAAATAAAGCTGTGGCCAAAATAGTGCCAAAAACCCAAACCAAAATTGATGTGTGATGTGTGAGTTATTGGGGGGTGGCTTGAGGACCTCGACACGCAACATCCAAAGGTTCAAAGTCTGTAGGATTTCTGAGTAACGTTTCCTTTGGTTAGATATGAGCTCCATGGCTTTTTATGACTTGTCTTCCAGCTAATGGACTCCACTAATGGGCCTTTCCCTCCCCTTATGGTCCTATGACCCACTAGTATCTCAAGAGTTACCATCTCCTCCACTATCTGTATCCTTATCCCTGACAGATGTTTCATACTCACCTGTACACCACACATCAACACCCCCAAACCTTAGCCACCATTACTTGGCTATAATATGATACCAGGAGAATGCAAGCGCCTGGTAATTATACCCTGAGTTGCCGACATTATTCAAAAAATAGTTTAGTAAAACAATCCAGATTGCTCGAGCAAATATGCCTAGGCCTACTGCTTTTAATTACTGCCCTTTTGCATTAACAAGAACTCTTATGATTATTTCCTGTTCTGGCAACCATTCCCAAGGCAACATGATTACTTGAATCCACTATTTCAGTTATACTTAAATATTACAGTGAACCAGTTCATATGTCTCATGGATCCTGGGTGCATTATAGAATGCAAATTTCATTGAAATTAACAGGGAACTTATTTCTAAGAAATAATGATTAGATTTGCTGTTCCTAGAATCATGTTGTTTGTAGTTAATATTTCGATCCTGTCAGTTATTTGATACCACTGACAAAATCTTTATTTTATTTTTTTCAGGTGTGCATTTTCATGCTAAGATTTATTTAATCATTGTGTTAGGTGTGTTTTTAAACTTTTGGTGCTTTCTGCTTTCGAATAGGTCACATTTGCAATAACATACATGTGTGCGATCGGCAGTCAAGTATTTGAAACTGGTGGCTTAGCATCGCACGAAGAATCGTATCTGAATATTTCATGATGTGAAATGTGAAAAATTGTGAACTGCGGTCATTTTTTTGCCCACCCAAATTCAGGAACTGAACTCCCACGCAGAGTGATGGAATGGAAACAGGGGTGGGCACCTTATCCCCCAAATGCAGAAGTGTCAAGAAGAAAGACAACTAAGCTTTTTCTTAACTAGGCCAGAAAGGATTGGAAACGCTACACAAGAAGAACACTCGTCCCCTGTGGGCAGGGAGTGGCTGTCTGGCTGACACTCGCTCACAGCTGGCATTGGCACACTCCAGATGGACCTGTTTCCAGCTTTCCTTCGCCAAAGTGAGGGTTGCCGTGGGCGTCATGGGGCCTTTGGGGATGGGTGGAAGAGAGGAACAGTATACAAGTGAACACATGGCAAGGTATTTCCTGTTTCCATATATTATTATTTTTTAAAAGTCTGACATTCAGAGACTGTGCCCATGAAATATCATAGTGCCCCAGTATCAGGAAATCGCACAGACTCTGCTGGCGCATACCGGATAACACCATTTGAGTTCATTGCATGTCAATATGGGCTGTGTATGGAATCTAGCAGGCTAGCCAAGCAAGTTCTTTCGCTAAATGTCACTGAATTTTACGCAAGAAAATAGTCAGGCCAAACCCCGATGAATGAGAATTTGTTACCAAAACTTCTCTGGGATTCAATAAGACCTGGTTTTGACTTGAACGAGCATCCTGGAAGACCCACTTTAAATTGCCGTTCTCGGGAGTTGTCAAATGTAGAAAAATGCACCGGCCCTTTCTCACTCAAATCCTTGTCCTTATTTAGCTCTTTGGCCTAAGAAAACTATTTTTTTGTCAATACCATTCTTAGTGGCAGTGCTTTTTTTTCCCTTAAAAAAATGTTTAGGGGTGCTCTCATTTTGACTCATGAAAATCACCATTTTATAGTTCAAATTGGGAAAAATAAATACAGTAAATGGACAAAAGTACAAAGATTCACAAAATGTTTAGGGGTATGTGTACCCCTCCATACCACCAGTAAAAAAAGCACTGCTTAGTGGTATCCTTTATTCATTAGATGTATCATTAGGGCAAATATTGCGGTCTCCTTTTCTACTTTCATCAAGCAAATGACACTAGCTTGGCGTTCCTCTGTAGCAAAAAAGAAGAAGAACTTCTGTACCTGACACCTTTTAACATAAACTGCTTTTAATTTTATAAGGAAATCTACACTTAAATAAATTGATCTTCTTTATTTATCCATTTCTGTGCAAACTGCTATGTATTGTAGTACAGTAGGTAACAGAATACCACAACCTGGTTCATTGCCTGGTTCATGAGACCCTTCTATGGGGTTATGCTGACAACCGAGCTCACAGCAGTCATTTAACTTCTCCTCTTCCTCCAGCTCTGACTTCCCCTGCCTCTGATTCTCGAATCCTGGCCGGGACAGGTCCCTGCAACTCACCGCTCCCACACCCTGAGTCCGACTCCAGACCCCCTTCAGCAACCTAGCAGTCCCTGATACCAAAGCTAGACTGCCTCCCTCCCACCATGCTGTCCTTCTGCTGGAAGGTGAAGACTTTCTTGTGTTCCAGCAAGCTTTTGGGAATTGACAGCTTTTAATTAAAGGGCTGGTGCCATGCTGTTTTTATTGTAATTATTGGTACGTTTTAAACACATTTTATATATGCATATAGTTTTAATCCTACCAGTTTGATTGTCTTTTGATGATTGGTTTTTCTATTATTTTAGCAGTTCTTGCTTTTGCGTGTTCAGACCTTTACCCCCCCCTTAAATAAATTCAGACGAGATTCAAATTTTGGTTTGGTTTTTGGCAGAATTTAGGCCACAACTTTATTGATTACAGCAAGTGAGTGGTTGCATAGGCTCTGGTTCGACTAGCTCCCTGCCATGCAGGTAGCGCTGACCCAGGGCACCAGCATAGGTCAGCCTAGGGTGAACACCTGGATAAGCGGAAAGCCGGGAACAGGCTATCTCCACCACCCAAATGCCCCCCTGGACTCAGGCACGGGCACAACCCCCTCTCAGGGGTTGACCAAACCATTGAGTCCCTGGATTCCTTTAACGGAATACCCTTCACAAAGGGATGGCGAGAGTGTTTTCCCATCCCTATCACCTGAACCAGAGCCTATCTGCAACCTTACAAGTTGTGATTATTTGCTACGCAGCAGGCGAAACCCAAATGGCGCCAGCCAATCAGCCAAGTGGGGGAAATTCCTGCCGTGCCCCTGCCCCAACGACAGACAACACATGACACCATAGCAAGGTCAAGCGCACAGCCCTAAATATAGGGAGAGGTGGGTGGGTGTTCCATGCATCTGGGTCACATGCATGGGTTTATATAGGTCCCTTGATCCGTTTAGACTGTGCTCCATTGGCCTGATTAAACCAGCATCAAGGGACCTACCAATCAGGTGTTCTGGCTATTTGATCGAATCCACCCACAACACAGGGTTTAGTTGCCAGGTCTCACTGCAACATGTGCCCTCTTTAAGGGAGGACCCGATTTATCTGTATTCCACCTTGAGTCCCATCAGAGGAAAAGGCTGGGTATAAATAAATACTTAACAATGACAGAAGAGGGGACTTCAGGTCTTCAGTGATGAGGTGGGAGAGTGTTTTTTCACTTCCAGGCCTCCATGCTTTCAGTTGAAGAACAAAATATAGCCTACGCATGAAGAATGAAATATAGCCTATATAGCCTATAGGAGTAGGGCTATGAGGCCCAGTCCAGCTCCTTGTCACTCTGTACCTCTTATGATCACACATAGGTTGTGAAAGGGGTACAGAAAGATAGCTTATAAGTGCACAGGTCTTTCTCTGCACATTTGGGAACTTTTGGGTTTTTTCCATCATTCCCAGTTGTCTGCAGAGACAACTCTGCAACAGGGTTCAAAGATCACTATGTTCAGTCCACATTTTTAGAAATAAAACTGACCTAATTCACAAACCTACCAGTCTAATATATGGATCAGACCATAATTATCCTTCAGATTTTGCCACATCTCCCAGCTTTACAATACAATTCTCAGCTCCAAAAAAGGGGGACAAATCTATCATCTATCTATCCATGCATACACTGAGATAAGCTACATTATTTAAAATACCAATTTTATGACAAGAAATATATTTAAATACAGGTTTATATGTAGGGTTTTGTTTTTTAAAAAACACAGTGGAACAGACTTATGAATACATGCAAAATGGAAACAGACCAGGAATACAGTTTTATTCACGTAGGTCAGACATAGGCAAACTCGGCCCTCCAGATGTTTTGGGACTACAACTCCCATCATCGCTAGCTAACAGGACCAGTGGTCAGGGATGATGGGAGTTGTAGTCCCAATACATCTGGAGGGCAGAGTTTGCCTATGCCTAACATAGGTTTTTATTCTTTATTATTATCCTTAAGAACACATGCAGTCAGAAGAGGAATAATATGCACATCTCAACTCCCACATATTCAGTGAAAGTTTAGTTTAAAAGGGGGTAGCTACAAAATAAGCATTTTTTTTAATTAGCAAAAGTAAGGAGTAGGCTTGCCATTTTCTATTCATGAGGGGGAAACTTGGATATTATGGGTGATAGGCAAGAGAGAAAAAATCTTAGCCTATTGGGTAAAGTAAGAGGGCCAATAATGATTGCTACAAGAATTCTTCATTGGAGTAACTCACACAGACCAGCAGCAAGTTACATATAAGTCTTTGTCTCTTCAATTAGCTAGAGTTATGGCTGTACATATTGATTTTGAGAATTATGCATTCTTAATGTAGTGGAAGTTGAAAATTAGGACACTGTGTCAGTCAGAGTGGAGTGGGTAACAGGGTAGACACAGAAAACATAAAAGAAGAAAAAGGACAATGCTTCTGAAAGTTTAAAGCACAAGAAATTGGTTCTTAAAAAAGTACAACATGCTAAAAGAACCCCTTCGAATACCGCTACACAATTGAATACTTTCATGGCATTGAAACTTCTGTTTTGGAAGCCTTTTTTTTAAACCACAAAATAACCCATAGCGGTGTATGGAAATAATTTGTTTTGAGGTGCTAAAGCAATGGTAAAGTTGCATGACTCAGAAGCAGATAGTTGCACTACACTGTAAGGTAAAGATATCAAAAGCCTGATTATTCCACTGACAGCTGGAGCATGTAGAGTGCAGCGACGTTAAGAAAAAGAGTAATTATCTGCTACTTTTACATTGAGATCCTATTCCAAAGTTTCGAGAGGAAGCAACGCCCAACTGTAAATCATGTCATCAATGAAATCAGTATATAAGGCAGTTTTGGGGCAAGACGTAGGACAAGGTGAATGAAGGATTCTATTTACAACACTTAGGCTTCTATTTTTCCCTGAGGGAACTTATTATTGAGCTTGATCTTACTGGAGTCATTGAAACTTTCACTACAATTGAATGATCCCTTACAATTAGACTCCAAATCTCCTATCTGATCTCAACCACTACACACACTAAATTTTCACTTGCCTGTGCTGATTTATAACACAACCAATCGGTAAAGGTAGCATGGAAAATACAGTCTTAAAAACAGTTTGCTTCTCCGTAATCTGGGGACAGATCAGCAAGCAAGCTCACTAATGCCAGGGCAACTAATGCCAAACAGTTAATATCATAAATAATTTCTTTTCATCACAACAATTCAGTTGGCTGCCTTGTCGTTTCTGGTCCCAACTGGTCAATACATCAAGACAGCATGCTAGGTTTTAGGCAAAATCCCAGTATTGACTTGCAGTAAGCAAAATAACATGGTACATTCTTGGAAATTACTGGGTAACATTCAACTAACTCCTACTAGCAGTGAACCAAAACAAGTCATGCCTATTAGATTCATGGGTCTACTCTGAGTTGAACTAGCATTGAACACCATCTGTTGTATTTGGATTAGACCTAAAACTGGGTCACTCAGCCAGCCTTCGGTTACTGACCTGGTAGATATCAATAAAAGGTCAGCATTATACCTGGTCTGAAATATGCAATAATTTGGGCTAAGGTGAAAGTTACTGATTGTGGATTTTCTTTAATAAGCCATACTCAGAGTAGAACATAGGAGCCAACTCCTATGGTCTTTTTGCCTCCCCAATAAAACATCTGAGGGGGCCACACACCCACACCCAAGTTGATGGACATTGCCATTCAAATAGTGTGCCTGTGCTTGTTTGGAGGTTCTAGCAGGGGAGCGCAGCTATCGTATACCCTTGACCGAAGATATTGTAAAATTAATGAATGTTAGAAAAATGTTGAAATGAAGTTATATGGCTTTAGTAGAAATATTATAAGGAATTAAGTACAGATAGGTTAATAGAGTGTTAAAGGGGAAAAAATAAGGTTAGAATGAGTTAAGATAATTATAGGATAGAAAACAGAGGAAGATGGAAAGGAATTCCTGAAATAATTAACAGAAGTGGAATACAAAAAGGGAGGTGTGAGGAGGTTGTGGAAATAAGTGAAGGAAAGATGGGATAATGAAATGGGTTGATTTATTTTATTGTCTTAGTCTTGTTTTGTTAATTTGATGTGTTGTATTGTATTGTTTTTCTTGTTTTTCTTCTTTTTTAGTGTTTTTGGAAAAATAATAAATATTATTTAAAAATATATATCAAATAGTGTGCCTGTGCCATGCCATATGATCAGTTAAGTAGAATGGGGCTTACTTGGGCCTCCCCAATATTGTATTTAAGTTGGCATCCTTGGAGTAGAAGCAGCAAAATCAGCGGTGTCTAATGGACTACCTTGTTAAGGATTTGAGGTTGCTTGTTCATGTGCACAGATCACAGAACCCAAGTGAGTATTTCAGGGCGACATTTTGGTTCAGGAATTTGTAATATGTATTGAACTGAATAAAATGAAACTCATTCAAAACAATTAACTGCAGCACCGAACTAATAATCTGCGCTAAAGGATAGGTCTTTATTTTGCTAAACTATTGCTTGTGCCTAACAGCCGACTGCAGTGTCACTGGACTGCGGCAACATTCCTCTGCCATACTGCGCTATTCAGGCAACTGGACTTATTCCAGCTGTAGCTTTGACGGGAAGGTATTGCCCAAATGCTCCCTCCTGTTACAATGTTAAGAAATAAAGATGTTTAAATAAAACACCTTATTCTGGTTTCTCCTGAAACGATATCTCTTGCTCTTTGTTAAGTGAAACCTGATGAAATACAAATCCAATCCAAGGGACTTCACCTCAACCTTTCACCTCAGAACTTCCCTATGCTTTCCAAAGCAGAGCGGGTGGGGAGAAGTACAAGAAGGGGCAAGAGCAGAGAAGCATTAGTGCTTAAACAAGTGTTTTACATTTATTCGCATTGATCAGACTCTCACTCGCGAACCCTGCTCCAAAATCCTGTAGAAATGAGATACTTGCACATAGCAGGGTTTGAAGGAAAATATCATCTAGTGGAAACACACATGAGACAGACAGACAGACAGACAGACAGACAGACAGACAGGACAGAAGCATGTCAAGGCTTCAGTGGTGGCAGTGCTGAGTTTTGGGACAACATGGCAAAATAAGTTCAATCCATTATGAGTAACCTGTATAGCCCACATCCAAAATATCTCCACCACAGATCACAGCGCCACGTTTAATGTCCATATTTAATTTGCACACACACACGCACACACACATCACTGGCTTGTGATGAAATTTTTCGTAGGGGAACAGTTAGGCACCAGCTTATGAGGGCGATTGTAAGGGACGGGGCGTTGTGACGTCGCTCACGAGAGCATCACACCTCCCTAAACCAGGCAGAA